AGAAAGAATTGCTCATAATGCAGCCATCTGTGTGGGTAAAAGCCATGCCTATGGTATGTATATGGTAAGTATAGCATGACTGCATAGCATAAATCCAACCTGCCATGTACAGGATATTGCTTCTGCTTAGACAGTGCAAGCTGCTTTGTGTGTCACTGCTGGATATATCATAGAATCATAGAATAGCAGAGTTGGAAGGCGCCACAGGACCATTGGATTTTACCCCCAAGGTGCTGGGTACCGAAAAATGTTAATAACGTTTGAAGCAAGGCATTAATGTTCAGGCCTTGAGAATGGCCAATCCATTAAAGAAATACCTTAAAGAAGGAAATAAACAACTGCTATACATCATGTTTGAACTGGAAGTAAAAGGAGCTGTCCTTCTGGAAGTGTTTTGTGCCTCAGGCCTCCAGATAGTTTCTGTAGTGAACAAGACCAGGGCAAGGGGCAAGGAGGAGAGAATCCAGAGGTGGTAATATGTAGCAGTCTTCCCAATGCGGTGCCCCCCAGATGTTTTGGAATGCAATTCCCAGCATTCATAGCTAGCATGGCTAATCCTGAGGGACACTAAACCAACAGTGGCCATAAAGTATCTGGTTGACTTTGAGCTAGGTTAGCAGAACCTTAGACATAAGGGTCAAACCTACTCCACCTGGGGGGGGGGGGTCTCAGCTCAGCTCCTGGGAGTTCCCAGAATCCCTCTGGACTCATCCATTTCTCTCAATCACAATTTCTCTGTGTTTTCATTACTTTTGCAGTTTTTTCCCATTCTAAAGGTTGGAGATGTCTCTTCTAAGGCTTAGTTAGCAACAGTAAGAACTTTGGGTTAAAACATACTGGCATTTTTGGTAAATTTTGGCTCAGCATAAAGTTCTCTGAAATTCACCTTCTCTGAAATTAAGTGTGGGCCTCAGGGAGAAAGAGGTTTGACAGTCCTGTTTTAAAGCCTATGTTAACTAAATTTATTCTTCATATCTTATGTGTGAAAACATTTACTTCTATCACTTTCACATCAGCTGATTTGCCTTTTAAAGAGAGAGGGAAAGAAAAAAGAAGAAAAAGAAAGGGCTGAAAGGGAACCAATAGGGAGAAAGGAAAGGGACAGAAATGCAGAGCATGGTGTTGAAACTGAGGAGAGGAAGATGGATTAATCTCATAATTAAATTCAGCATGAGAATTGGTGCTGTTACATACAAAGGTAGGTGAGGTTAAATATATTATTTCATACCCTTGGAGCTGGGCAGAGCAGTGTTCTTTAGTTCTTTAAACCCCCTCCCATCATCATCATCATCATCATCATCATCATCATCATCACTTCCTCCATTTCTTACCTGATGAAACCTAATGACAGCCTCTTTTTAGATGCTACTTTTCATGTCCATCCTGTCTTCAAACTATACTGGTCTTCTGTCTGTGCAAATCTCTAGAAAGTATGCACTAAATCTCTTCAGTATGTCATGATTTATGGTACCAAAGAGATGCATATAATACCTTCTCTCAAGTGTTACAACTTTGACCTGAGTTCAAAGGATTTGTCATGCTCAGTAATAAAAAGTCCATGCCCTGAATGATTGAATGAATAAGAGAACATCATTTAACATAATATATTTTCCACTATCAGAATTTTTCAGCCTGGTATTAAATGTTAATGGGTGGGGGCATTAAACTGTAATATTTAGATATCTGACATATTTACCAGTGGACTTGATAATCCACTCAAGTCCAAGCAAGCAGCTCATGTAATATGTACATAGCTTCCCCAGCCTGATACCCTACAGATGACTGGACTACAACACACATGAATATTGACTATTAATGCAACTGCCTGGGTCTGATGGGAGTTGTAATCCAGAAGATCTGGATTACATCAGATTGGAGAAGGCTTGTGTATACTATAGTGTGCTTAGGAAAACCAGCCATTCCCAGAAAAGTATGTAGCTTTAAGGCCACTTATTTCCTTTTGATGGTAAATTGCTCTATATATTCTCCAGCTGCTGAATCTCATCTGTTGCTTGCCAAACACAATCAAGAAGTCTTAATTTTGTAAACTGAAATCCCATATTTGATATCTCAAATACAAGATGTATATGTATACTCAAGTTTTCAAACTGTGCTTGGGAAAAACGGGTTATTTTGAGACAAATCAGGGATACCTGATAAACCTGGGAGATGGTATTGATGGTGAGGAAAACATTAGAGAGGGAGAGGGAATTTGGAGAATTCCAAATTCTGCTATTTGTTTCTGGCAATCTGTATCATGCACCAATGAACACATGGGAAATATCTCCATGTGGTGAAATATGAAGTTTAAAGCTATGCTTTAAGCTGTCTGAGGTTATTGGTGGATGTTTTACTTTCCCACATCTGCACAGAAACAGGAATGCTTAAAGCAACAGGCAGATGCTTAGGGTGGTCATGGTGCTCATAGCACATAATAGGCAGGGGCTGATTCCCAGAGGCCCTAAGGGGTTTCCTCTGGCACAAGCAATCTGGAATAATCTGCATGCACAGCAAGTGCAACTTGCAAGTACACCTGCTCTCTGTTTGTCACAGAACAGTGGTCTGAGTTGCATGGACAATTCTTGACAGGTCAGGCAGTTTGACCAGATAGTCTTCTTGTTTCTTCAGAATCCTGAGTCTAAGAATCTGAGGGTTAAATGCATTAATATTTACTTTGCCCAAGCAAGTGTGTTTACTCTGAAACATTTGCTTGTGTATATGCAATAAAAATGTACAATTCTCTCTCTCTCTTTCTCTCTAAATATATCTATATCTGCAACTTCTGTTACTTATCTGAAGTAGGATATTGGCTGTAAAATATTATTTTTAAAGTGCACAGTAATGCATATTTATTTATTTCAATTTTTTACCACCCAGTAGCTGAAGTTCTCTGGGTGACTAACAAATATTAAGGCTGCAGGGATACTTTCAACATTTTTCAGTAAAGAGCCCCGCATACTTTCCAACTCCCATGTAATTATCAACATTATTACACTCACAGACCAAGAACATTAATAAACAAAATAGCAATAGAAAAATAAAACCACAGTTAAAACAAGTACAGTGACCCCCATGCAATGTACCTAAGAAAATTCAATTCCATCTGTGCAAATTTTTTGTCTTTTGGTATGTCTTTGCTGCAATGCACATACTCCTGAAGTCAATCAGACTCTCCAAATGACTTGGCATGCCCCAGAATGGGAGATGGCAGAAGGCAAGAGTAATGTTTTGAACATATATTCCCATCACTTCCACTTATGCAGCCATATGATGCACACATAGGCATGTTCTATTTACTATGTAATTGCACAGAAGCAACCTTTAAGCATTTTGGAGTATGTATTTTTTCTCTTGTACAACAGAGGCCCGTGTAGTTCTGCATTTGTTAGACACTGTCTGGCTGCAGCTCTCTGGGGTTTCAGCTGACATTCTTTCTTTGCCGTACCTGGGGATGCCAGGGATTGAAGCTGACACCATCTGGATCACTGAGTTATGGCCACTGCCCAGTGGCCTTAGGCAAGAGTTGGACAATATAGGCTCCATTCCTTGAGTGACCTGCCTGCCTTTCTCAGCAGGTCTGCATTTACACAGGACGAGGTGCCCTCAGATGCACAGAACAATCACCGTTTTATTTCCTACGTTCTAGGCAAGCAAGGATGACAGCAGGATAAACTAGTTGGGAGGCAGCAAGCAAAGGGGGCAGTGCTGTCTATTAAGGGAGGGAATGGAGGAACGGAGAAAATGTTAGGGGAGCCCCGCATGGCCTCTTGTGTCCCTCATCACTGCCGTTGGCCGCCCCACTGAGGCACTTCGTCCCCACGTAACGCATTCACACCCGGCCAGTCTCGTTTCTGCAGATCCGCGCCCGCAGACACACGGACACGCGCGCTTTTCCTTGGCTGAGTAGCGCGCACACCTCGCCTCATTCTTAACCCAGAAGCTGATCGCTGCACGTACACCGAGGACCCTTTCCCCTGTTCCTTTGCCCCCCATCATTCACCCACACACCCCACTTCTGCACTCAACTGCACGCCCGAGGCCTGGGCCCGCCCGTACTCCCCATCGCTTGCCCTCTGTCTCCTCCGAGACGAGTCTTCAATTGCTACTCTTTTTACTCCGAAAAGCTCAGGAGAAACTGGCGGCACCCCCGAAATCTTCAGCCACGCGCCTCCCCCTCCCTCGGACGCTACCTGTTGGGCCCAGCAATCCTTGAGCTCAGAAAAGTGAGGGGTGGGGGGCGTACACCGATACGCCCATTTGCCCCGCCCCTCCAGAGGTGGCACATCTGGCTGCCCACGTGACGCATCGGGTCCCTTAAGTGGCTCGTCGGAGGAGGCAGCTGTCACCATAGCAACCAGATCCTAAAGGGGAGCCAGTCCGCCGCAGCCCCCAGATAGGGAAGAAGTGGGGGTGGGGTGGGGGTGGGGTGGGTGGGAGCCGAAGGATCGGTGTGCGGGGGGGGGGCACCATGTTTCAGCAGCTGCGGCTGAGCCAGGGCGGGGGCGCGCGTGGGTGCAGCGGCAGCAGCCCGATGTCATCTGTCCTCTTGCACTGCCTAGGCAAGGTAAAGTCTATGGAGTAAGGCGGACAGGAGCAGCAGCAGAGGGAGAGGTGGGGTGGAGGATGAGAACGACACAAAGGGAGAAGCAGGGCTCGGAAGGAGGATTACCAGGGGAATCAACCTGAATTCCCTGACGGAGAAGAGCCAATCTCTCCTACGCTTCGCTCAGGAGGCAGCCGCTTCTCCTCCATCTCTCACCTCAGCTTGGGCGATGTGGACCAACCCCAAGTCAAGGCACCGTCTATGAGGAAAAGCAGACAAAGCGGGCTTCTGGAGCCAAAGTGACAGCGAGAAGGAAGAGGAGGAAGGACCAGGAGAGGGAGGGGAGAGCCCAGCCCCTCACTCCCCTCCCTTCCCCACCCCGCCCTGGCCAGCGGCAGGAACCCACAGAGCCCTCCAGCTGTTCTCACCTTCCAGCTGTTGGCTGCCTTTTGATGCCATGGGGAACAACTTCTCCAGCATCCCAGCACTGCCCAGGGGCAATCCTAACCGGTTCCACAGGGTCCATCATCAGCATCTCAAAGGTAAGAGGTGGTAGCAGCCCTGCCTGTTTCTGCATTACTTGTTTTGATAGTGATAATGTGGAACACGAAGTAAAGCCCCGCTTCTCTCTTTAAAGTTTGGGCCTTTGTGGTGGTTCTCCTCAGTCATAGGTGTGTTCTCAGCTCTTACCTGATTAGTATTGCCCCCCCCCCCCCGACCTCGGGCATTAAGCTCTGTAATGGAACCCGGGCAGCTAAAGCAACCTGGAGATATCCTACCTTCTGTAACCAGTGATTTTGAAAGGCACGAATGAGAATCATTTTGTACAATGAGGACTAGTTGCACCCTTTGTAATCCAAGGCACACACTCCAGCTCACAGACAAATAGAGGGAGCCTCTGATTTTTCTGATGAAATAAGACACAGGTTGAAATTGCATGCTTATTTATGTTGCAACTGTGTACTTAGAAGTACATGTCCCTGAAATCCATGGGTTTTACTCCCAAATAAATGTGGTGAGGATCAAGATGATAGATGGGTTTACATCCCAGCTCCTGTTTTTAGTTATGGAAAATAAGGGTTTGGAATCCAAACTAAGAAGGGTTTAAAAGAAAAGAGGAGGCAGAGAGAAGATTGGCTTTAAGATGCTAGGCAATATAAGTAGCTTCCAGTATTTTACTTCTGAATGAGTATGCAGCAGCAGCTGTTGTCTTGGTTACCCCAGATATGTCAGCTTTTGGAGTAGGTGGATCGGGTTTAGGAAATGACAGATTTTATGCGTATCAGTAGTATACTGATTTTTGTGGTTGTAGTGCAGATCCGATTACTATGATAATCCCCCTGGAGCTTCTCTTTCTCATGTTTTAAAATCTTTCATTTTGGGCTACCAACATGTATAGTCAGCAGTAGATTTGCTTGCAATAGATGAGGATCAAATCATCTGTGTTCACTTTGGCCTGCTGCTCTCCTTTGAATTTGCTGCCCTGTCCTCAAAGCAGTTAAGCCAGAGTGTATTGGTTCCATGGAATGAATGGTGCTAAAGTGACTTCAAAACAAGCATTCTTGGATAACTGGTTTCTGGATCACAGCAATACTCAGTCTCTTATTTTATTTATTTATTTAAAACATTTCTATGCCGCCCCATCGCAACAAAGCCTCAGGGCAGGTCACAACACATAAATAAATACAGAAGTAATAAAATAAATAAGTACTAAATTATACAATAAATAACACCCCCCAGTGCATTCTCGGCTAATAATAATAAAAAAAAGCATTCCATTCTTTTTTCTTGAATTAGTACCATATAGTATACATTTCATTGCATTACAGTGTTCATTGATAAATTCAGTGCTACAAGAATGTGGCCAAGGCTTGTGAAAAGATAGCTAAATAGGTGTGATGTTCCACTAGCCATGATTTTGTTGCTGTTTCAAATCTTTTTCAGGTGTGCTGCTTCATCTGTGCCTACCATAACATTTATTGCAATTGTTTCATGAAAAACACTTTAGAAGGACAAAAGTTCACAGATTTTTACTGTGAAATTTAAAACACAATCCTGTGTGAGTTTAGACAGAAAAAAATGCTATGCTGTTTGGGGCATGCTGGGAGCTGTAGGCCTTTTCATGTAAATAATATAATAATACTTATATAATATGAAAACTGGGTTTTCTTCTCAGTTTTGTGATGATTGTTTTGCATGTTCTTATGATATTAGCAGTAGTTTTTGTTTAGTTCTGCAGTTGATAGTCAAGACATGGACTGAGTCAGACCAAAATTCAGGGCAGACAATTGCTGTGTTTAAAATTAGACATGTAAGAACGGGGCAGCTGAACTCTACCAAGAAAGCCCATCATTCCCTATCAACACAAATGTGAAAGCACAGACGATGCTGCAGTAGTTGGTATTCAGTTGTAAACTGCCAGGAAGGATTTATCTTAAGAACGAGTCTGTCAGCTGGAAATTTTACTGGTGCAAACTTAAGCAAAATTTGCAGTCCGTAGGCAGGATAGACACATCTTAATAATTTCTCATTGTAAGCTTAAACTGAGATGCAGTTTAGGGTCACCTGATTTCATTTACTCTCATAGAGCATGCTTGAATTTTGGATTCCTGTCCTACCCCATTTTAACTGGGCTTGGTTGCTGTGCTGTCTCTCTTGCTGTGGAAACAAACAAGCCGACAAACCAGGCAAAATGGTTCTTGAGTGGCTTAAATGCTATAATGATTGAAATGAAGGGTTAAGTAAGTTTAGCATTTTGTTGTATTAAAACAACTACAACTACAACAAAAAACCAACTCACCCTGCCAAGTAACTGCCAGGGACAATATGTGCTTCTTCTGTCTTTTTTGAAAGAAGATTGCCTCAGGTCCTACATTTACATGCAGAATAAACAAGCTTGATTAGATTTGACAGGTTCCTGTAAAATGCTTTGGAGGCACAGCAGTACAAAAGTATGAATGTCACACCATTTTGTTACATTTTGGGACATATATTCTAATTGAAGATGCATTTCACTTTGCCAACAGTCTTTCCAATTGGGAAGGATGCAGAAGTCCTCTTAGTTTTGGCAACAGCTGGAGCTGTGTTATTCTTAAAAGAAGGCCTTCTTGTTCCTCTCCAGATGACCTCATCATAACTGGGTAGCAAGGATCATTCTTTGTTTAGCCTTATGAATGCCCAAAAAATTCCATGCCTGTAAAAACTGTGTGTGGTGGCCAAGAGATGTAGACCCCCATAGTTCTTACAACCTTCCAGATGGAAAGATAGTGCCATCTCTCCCAATGGAAACTTTTTTCATTCCTTGCTGTTCCTATACAACTAAAAGCTTCAAAAGCAGCCAGAGAAAACCACAGCCACAGGTTTTAGTGCAGGCAAATCCTCTGAAAATTGGGAGTGAATTGTTCTGGTGAAGTGATCATGAATGTCATTTGGTGGCTGGATGAGTTTTAGGAAATACTAAATAGGTATGCAGAAAAGTTACCCTTTGCACATTAAATCTTTCAGAGAGATGTGTATGTTTGAACCTCTCTTTGTAGAATGTTGTTCTCCAGATTGTTAGGTTTTTTCTTAACAGTAGTCATGACACATGAATATCATGTCTTGATCAGGGATCTTCGGATGATCAGGGAGAATTTGCCTACTAAGCCCTAAGCTGAGGATGGGGAAACCGGTCCTCCTGATGTTGCTGGACTACAGCTCCTGTCATAGTCAGCATAGGCAATAGTGAAGGATGATGGGAATTGTGGCCCAGCAATATCTGGAAAATGACAAATTCCTTAGGCAAGTAGTAAGGCAATCAGTCAGAAAGCCCTATAACAGCAATGAATGAGTTATGAATGTTGAATGTGTTATGGTGTGCTGCCTAACCTCTAGAAAAACTTGTAGACTAGGGCTGCTGGAGCAGCACTGAGATCTGTTTTGTGTATGAAAGACTGCCTTCAACTCTGCCTCATCTTGACCCTGATCTAGTCCTCTTCTGTGGGAGATGTATTTGATAACAGCATACATGACATGGTTGATAGTAAGTATGAGAGCTCATACCAGATTTTACATGCATTCCACCACACAACTGCCCCTGCCACATGGTAAAATCATTTGCTCACTTTTCAGCCCAAGGCAGTTTGGTCATCTATATGGGTCAACTTCTCCTGAGCCTATTTATACTCAAGGAGGCTGAGACAAGTTCTCTAAAGTACCAGTTTAGACCTCAGAAGAAGGATGGAGGTTTGTCACTGCAGTTACGAGTATGTTGAACTGTAGAGGTACTCAGGACACCTGAAGGTGTAATGTGATTTCATGATCCTGGCCTAAGACCTTCCTTCTTGGGAGGAACAGAGTTGATGGGGGGTATAAATTTGGCTGGTTTCCAAGACTGTCCATATAGGGGCTCTTTGACTTCTGATGCTGAAAGTGGAGATGTGTGGATGCCTTTTTTTTGGCTTTCCTGGTCCCATGAAGACTTCAGAGAATTAATGTTTATAGCCAGATCCACCATTCAGAAACAAGAGCTTTTATCAGGAGCCCACAATCTTTAAAATATGCCTGGATTCTGCTACAAATTGGCTGCCTAGCAGGGTTACTCCCCTTTTCAGAGTTTGTGTGTATACGTGAATATAAGACCATCCTGAGACTATTTGGTAGTGGACGGTATGCAAAAGTTTTACATACATAAATAAATAAATGAATGAATGTGCACCCTGTGTGCTCATGTTTCTCTCTGGCTTCCCTCTTTCTTTTCCCCTTTGCCCTCCCTCCCCACTATATCACAAATTTCTCCATTCATTTGCATGGGGTACGGAGAAGCTCTCCTACTGAAAATTGGCTGGAGAGTGCAGGGCAGCACTCCCCAGTAAGGAACTTTGGGGCATCCTACAACCATTCATCAGAAGCAAGTTTCTGCCATCTTACATCCATTTTGTTCCCCTCTTTCCTTGCGATTTTATTTAGTTAAAAGTTGTGGTTCAAAGTTGTGTGAGTTCAATGTTTCATTATGCAGCCCTTACAGTGGCTCTATATTTAGGGTATGGATTATTGATATACTATGAATCCACCTTGATCCATTTTTGTCACATGAGTCTCAGGTCGTCTCAGTGGCACATAGTGGCTTCTTCCAGTTTTGGCTAGTGCCCCAGCTATGCTGCTAGCCGGACAAGGATAGCCTGGTTTTGGTAGTCCATGCTCTGGTAATCTCTAAACTGTATTAGTGTAATGTACTCCATGTGGGGTTGCTGCTAAAGACAATTCAAATGCCCGGCTTGTGCAAAATGCAATAGTCAGACTAATAATTGGGATCCCGGATTAGGCTTCCTTACACTGCTGTCTAAATGTTTCCAAGCCCAATTCAAGGTCATAATCCACAAAGCCCTTCATGACCTGGGACCACAATACTTGATGGCATTCCTTTTCCAACAACAGTATGCCCATGATCTAGATCTGGGGTGTGCCTGCAATTGCCACCTAGAGGGTGGCAACAAGGAGAAGGCAACAAGGAGAAGGGACTTTTCAGTGGCAGCCCCCAAGTTATGGAACAAGCTCCCCACTG